AGTTGTCTGTTTTCCAGTGATAAAATGTAGTCCTGAATCTGTGAAAAATGAGTGGATGTAGAGTGTTCCAAGCAAAGGAAACAATATGTGCAAATCTCTTAAAAAAAAAAAAAAAAGTATTTGAGAAATGCTATGACAAGAAAACAAGAAAATTATAGTCAAAATGTGAGCCAAAGGCAAGATAATCCAGGATATTTTAGGACATATCAGCACTGGATTGATTTTATGCTTGATGAAAAGTAATAAAAGAGTTGGAATAAAAAAAAATACCATACAAACAAAGATACAAATATATTTGCATTTATAAAACATTGTTTTTGTTCCTGGATATTGTGCATGTGGTAGTCAAGACAGGAAGCAGTGAGGCTATGTAGGGTAAGAAATAGTAGGGATTCAGATAGATGATGGCTGAGGAGATGCAGAACAGAGAATGGATTTGGGATCTACTTTGTGGTAGAAAGGAGATGAAACATTATTCACTGTTGGGTCAAGGCACTCACATATTTTCTTTGGTTCTCCAGAAACAAGTAGGGTAGTGGCATTACCAATATATGCCTATCTATCTGCTATTTGCGTTACACCTGCAGATATGCTGCTCTTTTTAAGACTGAAAGGAATGTGGTAAATACATCCACTGGCATCCACTTTTACATAGGTGCTACATTTCTCTGTGATGGAACTGAACACATGAGACACTAACACAGTGCTGGCAAAGTGAAAATCATTAGTATTACCTATGGAAAGCAAACAGGAAACAGTAAGAATAGTTTCTCAAAGGGAAAGTGCTTACTTTTCCTCCAAATTACCCATGTCCATTCTTATGCTGCTGGGCAGGCACACTGTGGTTGAGGTCAGATGCAATGATCAGATCACTGCTGCTGCCTGTGTTTACCACCCTACTGCTGGGGGTCCTATAAGAGTCTGCCACTGGGCCTCACTGAGCCTCGCCTCGGCCACAGGAAGACCTCTGCACAGGATATTTCAAATCTCTGCCCTGGTTCCTGCCATACGATCCAGACCTATACTGCCCTAGGGCCTGTGTGGACCCTGGTTCACTGCCCAAGGGAGGGCCAAGCAGCTGCGGCATGGGACCATACACAGGACTCCCTGCCTTGCACAAAGAAGTATTACCGGTTTTTTTGCTCTATCTACAAGTTACTGGAGGCGCCCTCTTCTGTCAGCAAGCCCCTGCCCTAAGATCTCTCTCTACGAGCCAGAAAATCACAGCTGGTTTCAGAGTTCCCATCACTCATACTGTTGCTGCTGATTTTTTGCTCCTTGGCTCTGACGTGCTTGCAACTATTTCTATCCATCTCACAGCAACTTCAGTGTTACAGCTCTATTTGGCAGGTCCAGGAGTTTCTTGGCACAGTGTCTCTCCAGGTTCCAAAGATGAGTTCTCTCCTGACTCTTCTCATAGTGGTGAGGTCCCACTGAATCTCTGTGGGATAGGCCCTTATATATTCAAACTTCTTGTCAATTTCAAGGTGTGGTCCTCTCAACAGGTCCATGATCTGACCTATCCCTTGATAGACCACAAGTCACTCAATTTTAATAATTATATACAAACGCCATGTAATATTATTTTGTGGGAATTGCAAGAGCATAGCTAGAAAGGTCATATAAAAGTGATTCATTGCACTACAGCCATTTTCTAAAATTGTGCTGGCAAAACAAGACCACTTTGAGGAAAAATACTGCAACTTTTCTATTGGACTTATTACAGGTGGACTAACGCATGGTCATTCAAAATTGTATATGTAAACTGGAGAGTTGAATATATAGGTCTAGCCAGGAGATATACATTTGGATTATCAAAATATTTATTATTACAGCAAAGCAGAAAACATACAGAATGAAGAGGAAGAGAGTGTACATCTGAGCGCTGACATTTCAATATGTAAGTCACAGAGAAGGTGGCAACATAGATAGAAAGAAGGAGGATTCAGAGAATCAAGAGGAAAAACAAAAGAATGACTTGTCATAGATGTGAAGAAAAGAAAATGTTAAATATGGACATAACTCATTGAAGAAGTTTGCCTATGACAGAGAATAGAAAGACACAAATACGACCAGAGGAAGTTACACACTGAAGGAAACTGTTTTGTTTTTATTTTTCCTTTTTTTTTTTTTTTAACCTTGTTATTATAAGAACATGCTGACTGATGAAGATAAGGCTCTAGCCGAGAGGGGAGCAGACAGAGATTGAGATCAGGAGATAGTTCTCTCCCTGTGAGTGTGGGAAATAAAGGGAACCAGAATATCTGAGAGTTACTGGGCTTTGGTGGCAACAGGGCTGCTTCCAAATTTGTAACAGGAGGAAAGAAGGAAAATGGGTTCCATAAATCCAATGCTGGAAGAAACCAGAGAGTGATGGTTTCTATTTTCTGTGAAGTATGAGTCCAGCTCATGGGAAAGTGAACAGTGTTTGGGTGTAGGAGAAAGAAGAGTGCTGGTTAGAGAGGAAGTCTAAACTGCAGACTGCAGGGAGAAGAGTGAGTTTAGTACAATGATGAGGTAGACTAGTTTAACACTGTTGAGAGTCCAGTCAAATCTGAGTCATTTAAGCTGTCAATGAACACCTGTTAAATAGGCTAGAAGAAAGTGGTGAAAAATATACATGTGTAGGCTAGGGCTGGATCATAAAGAATTTGATTCTTTTCTGTGATTAGAGGCAGATAAAGATTTTTTAAAGTCAGACCTTAGTCAAATTTGAGGACTATTCCAATGCTGCTAGACATGACAGGAAAATGTGAAGGAGAGAAAGTTGAAGAGATGGCAGTAGAAAGTAATGTGTTTAAAATGTCTTCCTTTTGCAAATTTTATAAAAAATGTATGACCATGTGAATATATTAGTGGAAATTAGTGGCACAGTGCAGGACTCCAATACTTGAATGAATGAATGACAGCTCAATATTCTTTTAAAATATAGAGTGTAAACAAATATAAGTTTTCTTTTCAAGGAAAAGGGTTTATCTGGGGCCCCTCTGTGTATGCAGCACCCAGAACCTTATTTTAGCATGCCACATACAAAGATTATCTTGGCAAAGATAAATTCTATATTCTCATTTAACTATTTACTTTACTCTTTTTTTTTTTCATTTTTTTTTTTTTTAAGAAAGAGAATGTGGTGTTCCTAATATACCCCAAAATGTAGAAGCTTGGCCCAAGAAAGACAAATATAAAGTTGGAGATGTACTGAGTTTCTCCTGCAGACAGAAATATCCACTAATTGGACCAAATTCAATTCAGTGCTACGACTTTGGATGGTCTCCTAAATTTCCACCAACATGTAGAGGTGAATATTTATTCTGCAACTAATGATAAAAGAATTAAATATTTGTATATCAACACCTTCTTTTTTTTCAGTTTCTTCACCTTTCAGATTGTCTATAAGCTAACACATTACACCAGATATGTCATAACTGGGAAGGATATGGGTTGGGTTGTAGACAGCTCAGATAGATACTTCTCCAATTGTTCCTTGAAATGTGTATTGGGAGTATTCAGAGATATGTATATGGCACCAGAGATTGAAAGTACTTCTTTTGTTTCTTTTCCTTGTCTTATAATACCATGATTAATGTTGAACATTTTATATAGATAGGTCTTACCTCATATTTCATTGTGTTTCTCTTAACAACATTCTAACACTTTAAAAACAATTCAATCACACACACACACACACACTCACACAAAACCCACTGCTATCAAGTTGTTTCTAAGTTACAGTGACACCCATTGTGTTTCTGAGGCTGTAAATCTTTACAGAAGCAGATCGTCAGTCTTCCTTCCATGGAGCCGCTGGTGGGTTTGAAGCACTGACCTTCCAGTTAGCAGTCAAGTCTCTTATGCACTACACCACCAGAGCTCCTTAATTCAATCACATGTATGGGTTAATCAAAATTAAAGTATATTGATGCAAGAGACTGTTAGACCATGTGATCCTTACCTATATGACCATGAGACCAGAAGAACTAAGTGGTGCCTGGCTACCACTGTCAGCCTCTTAGATGGGGATCGGTGCAGGAGATCCTGGATAGAGTGGGAGAATAATGTGGAACAAAACTCAGAGTCATAAAAACAAGACAAGTTTTGCTGGTCAGACAGAGCCTGGTGAAACTCCTGAGACTATGGTCCCTAGCCACCCTTCAGGTTTGGAATTGAACTCACTCCTGTGGCTTCCAGCTGAACGATAGACAAGCATATGGGGTGAACATTTCTATCAGGTAGACACATTACTTGGAGCAATCAATCATGGGAGAACAGAAGAGCAGTGTTGGCACATGGAGACAGCTGGAGGTGTTGCATGGGAGGGAAGAATACAGAGAAGAAGTAAGTATGGGGAGGAAGTAGGAAGAGAGCTGTTATACTGTGGGAAATTGCAGTCAATGTCATGAGACAAAATGTGTATGAACTGTTCTATAAAAAATGAATTTGCTCTGTAAACTTTCACCCAAATCACAATAAAAATTAAAAAATAAATGAATAAAGTATATTGATTGTCTCAAGAAATGGCACTTTTTTCAAAAATTTTGTGACAATGTTTCCATGGAATATGAATATAACTTAATTTTACAAAACCATATATGCTTTTCTGTACACATCTTTAAAATACCTAGATTATTGAACACATTTAAAAGGTTTCATTATACCTACAATGAACTATTTTATTTTATAGATAGATAGATAGATAATTGTTGTTGTTGTTATGTGCCATTGAGTCAGACCTGACTCATATTGACTCGTAGCGACCCCTCCTTGGGTTTCTGATGCAGTATCACTGTGGAAGTAGATTGCCCAACCTTCCTTCATTTATATGTATTTATATGTATGTATGTATATATATATATATATATATATATATGAAACCTTTTGCCATGGATATAATTCCACTTCATCCCAAACATATATATACGACAGAGTAGAACTGCACTATATGGTTCCCATGGGTGTAACCTTTATGGAAACAGATTGCCATATCTTTCTCCCATGGAACAGCTGGTAGATTCAAACTGCTGAACTTCATTCAGTTAGCAACCAAACATTTAACCACTGCACCACTTTAAGTAACAGCTTTGAAAAATAATTTTCAGAAAAACATCATTATTTTTTTCATTTTCATTGTTTTAGAATCCTATAATGAAATAAATGAACTGGGCAGTGTTCCTTTCTGGTCACTCTAAGTAGGAAGGAGCCAACTTGCCAGCACCTAACATAAAAAACAATAAAATGAATAAATAAAGATCGCAACATTTTTTTTTTTTGTTATTGTAAAAGAAAATACCATTATTTTAACACTATTTCTATTGTAGGGAAAGTAAAGTCTTGTGGTCCACCTCCTCAGCTCCCCAATGGGGTAGTTAAGGAAGAAAAGAAAGGAAAATATGAACACAATGAAGTGGTGGAATATGGTTGCAATCCCAGGTTCCTGTTAAAGGGATCTAGGAAAATTCAATGTGTTGATGGAGGATGGACACCTCTGCCTATATGTGTTGGTAATGTACACAAAATATTCTATTTAAATTTGAATCACCAATTGCTATTTGCATTCATATAAAGACAAATTATGTTTTAAAGATAAACTTATTTTTGTGAAATTTACATAGAGGAAGCCAGTACATGTGGAGAAATACCAATACTCCAGAATGGCTATAGTTTGCCCTCTGACCCTCCCTATCACCATGGAGAATCAGTGGAGTTCAGTTGCGCAGAATCATTTACAATGGTTGGACACAGATCAATTACGTGTGTTCGTGGAATGTGGACCCAACTTCCTCAGTGTGTTGGTAAGAATATACTTTTCAAATTAACATTTAATAAACTTTAATATTTTTATGTAAAAATATATTTAGAGATATTGCTGAAAATGTCAGGTGTTAAATTATAATGAATCTAATTGTTTGTTGTTTATAACTCAACATGTGTGTACAGGGGAAAAATATAAACTAGCAAAAGAATATTATGGTTCTTCTGTTCCTGATATATTATGGTTTATTGTTAAATTGAGAAGCTAAATTTTACTTATAGATCACCTTTTGATATAAAATAAGAGTACAAAGTATCAGGAAAAGTATGACTTTTGCACAAATACCAGTACTGTTATTATATGATCATTTTTTCAGGACCTGGAAAAAAAAATAATAAAAGTTAGAAAATACTTATTTTGTAACTTTTGCCTCTCCAAAAAACTTCTAACAATGATCATTTCTGTGTGTTGCAAATGCAGCAGTGAATGTGCTGCATTGTGGGTGTCCACAGGCCCCCTCAGTCAAAGTGTAACTTAGTGACATAATGAAGTAGAGGCTTGGCCAGGAAACAAATCCGAATGATGGACTTAACTCTGTGATTCTACCTGCTTCCCCCTTTTATTCCTGCAATGAACGTCTTTGCACCTGTTGGTCTTTGTGAACTTGGGTGAACATTTCTGATGAAATATTTTTAGACAGAAGGTGAGGTACCAGGGTCATCATTGGCTCACTAACACCTTTGGCTCTGAGGGTTATGTCTCTGAAGCTCTTCAAGGGCTGGTCTAGGGCTTCAGGCTTCCCCCTCCCCTCTAACTTAATCTCTTTTTAAAAAAGTATTTATTCTTCTTTGAGTGAAAATTTACGGAGAAAATTAATTTCTCTTCAATAATTTATACACATTTTGTTTCATAACATTAGTTGCAATTTGTGTAACAAATTGTTACCAGTGTAACAGCAATCTTCCTGATTCCTCTCTGGGTTTCCCTGTTTCCATTCTCCCTTCTTTCCTGCCCCTTCCGGCCTTCTGAGTTTTGTTTTGTGGCAAATGCTGCCACTTCCCCTACCCCCACTCCTTTTTAAATTGTGATTTAGATGAAAGTTTACAGAGAAAATTCATTTTCCATATAACAGTTCATACACATTTTGTTTAATGACACTGATCGCTATCCCTATAACGTAACACCTCTCTTCCCACTTCCTCCTCATGGTTACCCCTTCTCTGTGTATTCATTCCTGCCCTCTGAGTTATCTACATGCAAATACTGCCCTTCTGATCTCCCGTGGTTGATTGTTCTAAGGAGTGTTCCTACAGGGTGTTCACTTTGTAAACCTGTCTATTGTTTGGCTGGAAGCCAAGGTAATGAGTTCAATTCCAGGCCAGAAGGGTGACTAGAGGCCATTGTCTCAGGAGTTTCACCAGTCTCTATCAGACCAGTAAGCCTGAACTTTTTAATGATTTTGAGTTTTGTTCCACATTTTTCTCACACTTTCTCCAGAATCTCCTACCCTGATCGCTTTCCAAGTAGTTGACACTGATATCTGGGCGCGATCTAAATGCTCTCAGGGTCTTGTTAGGCTGAGGTTCACATGGTCCACTAGACCCTTGGACTAATTGTTTCCATGTGTTTTTGGTTTTCTTCATTATTATTTGCTGTGGATGAGGAGAGACCAAGTGTTGTATCCTAGATGACTGCTTGCAAGCTTTTAAGCAGTCTCTAGTCACCAAAGTAGGATGTAGAACAATGTTTTTGTGTAGTACTGAGTTGAGCTTGAAGCCCCCCATGATCATGGTCCCAAGCTCACAGGCCCCAAAACTCACTCCTCCAGAGTGTTTTGCTGCAACTAAGAAGTTGCCATAATTATGTTCCCTTTTAGCTCTATTATATGTTTGGGCTTTCTTATATCACATAAAATATGTACGTAGAACTATCATCTACCAAATTTATATATTGTCATGGGTATATTCCCTTTTGCCTAGACATACCTCAACATAAAGCCAGTCTACCTGTGTATCCATCTGTAGATTAATGTTTATTATTATTGATAATGCAGTATTGTGTATGTAAAAGTGTTTATCATTGATATCTGTACCTCTTGTACATGTCTCTGGTGGCATAGTGCCTAAGGCATTTGACTGCTAACCAGAAGCTTAGTGGTTCAAACCCACCAGCCACTCCTTGGAAGGAAAGTTAGGCAATCTACTTCCATATAGATACTGCTTCAGAAACTGAAGGAGGGATCACTATGAGTCGCAACTGACTGGACAGCAGTGAGATTATTATTATTTTTTAATTGTGTTGGTCACTCGCTTTGGCATATTGCCTTTCCCTTCACCCAAATCAATACTTACCTCTTCCCTATCTAGCAGTTTTCCCTTCTCTCCTGTCCTATCCCTGGTAATCAACAGAGAAATCTTCCTTCCATATATAAACCTTCCCTTGCCTTTTTTAAATAGTGGACTAGTACAGTATTTGTCCTTCTGTGATTGACTTACTGTGTTCACCATAATATCCTCCAAGTTTATCCACATTATGAGGGATTTTGTGGATTCTACATTATTCGGTGTTGCATAGTATTCCAATGTGTTCATGTGCCATAGGTTATCCATTTCTCTGTAGATGGACACTTAGATTGTTTCCAACTTTTGCTGTTGTAAATAGTGGGTCAACGAACATGGGTGTATGTATATATATCTGTGTCCTGACTCTCACTTCTTTAGGATATATACTTAGTAATGGGATTGCTACTTTAAATGGTATTATTATTTCCAACTTTTTAAGGAATCGTCATACCAATTTCCACAGTGGTTGTATTATTTTAAAGCCCCACCAGCAATGTATGAGAGTTCCAATTTCTCCACAACCTTGTCAATATTTCTTATTTTCTGTCTTGTTGAACTTTGCTGTTAGTGCTGCGGTGAGACGGTATCTCACTTTTGTTTTGATTTGCATCTCTCTCATGGCTAATGATCGTGAACATTTCTTCATGTGTTTGTTGGCTGCATGAATATGTTCTTTGGTGAAGTGTCTGTTCATGTCTTCGGCCCATTTTTAATTGGATTTTTTTGTCTTTTTAATGTTGAGGTGTTTGTGTTTTCTGTAGTTTTAGAGATAAGTCCCTTGTCAGACATGTCATTGACGAGTATTTTTTCCCAATCTGTAGGTTATTTTTTACTCTTTTGGAGAAGTCTTTTGATGCTCATAAGAATGTAATTTCTAAAGATCCCAATCATCTAGTTTATCTTTGGCTGTTTGTGCATCTTTACTTTTGTTGGTAGTCTATTAATGTCATATTAAACCCCATTGCTATTGAGTCAGATCCAACTCATAGCTACCCCACCTTGGGTTTCCGAGGTGGTATCACTATGGAAGTAGATTGCCCAACCTTCCTTCTGAGGAGTGGCTGGTGGATTTGAACTGCCAGGCTTCTGGTTAGCAGCCAAATGCCTTAGGCACTATGTCACCAGAGCTGTCAATGTCATATTAGGGCCCCTAATTTTGCACCTGTTTTTTCTTTGATGAACATCTATAGTTTTAGATTCTACCTTCCCCTTTGATGGCCAATCATAATAGGAAGGATAGGGGCCCTGATTTATTTTCCTTTAAATAAATTCTTTCTTAAACTTCACCTGAGTCCTTCATTTAATCATCAGATTTCTAGACACTAATTAATTCCAAGTGAAGGTAGAGCTGACGATCAAGCTCCATGAATATAGCTGTTTGTTCACTGCTGTATTCCCAACACGCAAAAGACTAGCTAACAAGTAAGAGACATTCACAAAGAGCTTGTGACATGAGTCAGTACCATGTTGCTGATTAATTCTTCCTGTTTTCTAAACATATTCTTGTTAACGGCACTGACAGTCCTTCTTGATCCAACATCATCAGGCATGAGAACTGTCAGCTTTTCATTTTAATCTATATCAAAACCTCAGCTTATTACTCTTTTCCGAACTCATCTTCATACATTTAATTCTCTACATATACTTGGCCGAGTATGACCCCCTTCCAGCTATTGTAGGTTTTACTCCACCAATTATCCCTTTACAACGTTTATTTTGATCCCTCTCTAGCTGGGTTCTCCATTCTTCCAGATAAGTTTATTTTTCAGCGAATAAACAAAGAAATCCAGTCACAAAACCATCAATCACGTGACATAACAATGACAATACCTCCTCATGACTATCAATCTTCCTGCAGTTAGTACTGTGCCTCATAAAACAGCTTGCTTTCTCTCCAGCAGTACTTTTTGCACTGTGTAGGTCTTTCTTTCTTCTAAATGGGAATAAATTTCCCTGAAGTCTCCACCATGCTGTGATCTGACTCCTTTCTTTCAAGGTTGCATTAAAAAACCATTACTTTTCTTTGATCAGTCACTTGACATTTCTTTACTCTGCTCAGTCTCACTCAACTCTGCTTTTCTAACCATTAACAACAAATATCATCAAAAACTTATATTGCTGCTTTACCAAAGACAAGAAGTAACCCCATAATCATAGAATAATTGAAACATGTAGCTATATAACAAGCTTCTATTGGCTATGCATTCACTCATTTTGAGCCAGTAAAAATTTATTATTATGGCATTGCAATCTAATTGGATTAGAGGATGATGTGGTGTATAGAACAGCTTCTCAAAGACCCTAAAATTATACAGTAAAGGAGGTTGTGATCTTCCACACCTAGTCTCTTATTCCAAGTACCTCTCTCTTTTCTAGTTTTTTCTTTCTTTTTTTTTTTTTAGTCGTGTTGAACAGATCTGCTAAAATACTTCTTTCTGTAAAATACATCTTAGACTTTCTTTAAATTATATTTCATTACTTTTCTGGAAAAGAATATGCATAAACTAGCAACTTCTTTTATTCTATCCTATAGACAATGATTTTATTCCTAATGCTTTAACGCTATTAATGAAAAATTATACAGTGCCTTTCGAGATCAGAAAAACAAAAGCATATGTACATTTGGACACATTTCAAATATGGGTCCACATTAGGTTGAGTGATGGCTCTTCACTATGTAGATCATCCAAAAAAGTGACCCTTTTAGGCTCTTCCGATTCCCAAAGTGCAAAATATCTTTATGACAGGTATTTATATTGATATTTCAGAGAATGGACACAAAAACTGTTTATACATAATATCCAATCTTATGTAGTATGATCAAGAATAACTTGGTTGATTGAATTTATAAGCATAATTCAAAATTTCCTTGTAGCATTGATTCTGTAGCTATAATTATAAAGTAGTTGCTTAGATTCTTTTAATCACTCTTTTCATGGGAATATATTTACTTTCCAGCCACAGAACAACTTAAAAAGTGTCTTTTATCAAGGACACGTAAATTTGAATCAATCATACCAGATCAGACTGAATTTGATCATAACAAAGAAGTAAGTTACAAATGCAGAGATAAAGCAGAATCCAAACAATTAACCTGCATGAATGGAAGGTGGGATCCCCCACTAAACTGCACCTGTAAGGTCTTGTTTATACAGTTTTTTAAAATGCTTGCTATTTCTTCCTAACTTGTAAAAGGGATATGCTTCTGTCTATTTTTTTTAATTAGTTATTTATTATTACAAATGGTTTTCAATCTGTAAGGTAATTTAAGAGATAACCAAAATCCTGTTTCTAAATAATACTTATACCTGGTACATCAATTGGCTGTATCACAAGCCACACAAAGCTTGAAGGGTCTAGATTAACATGTGGACAGAAAGTGTGCTCATTAGTGTTGGAGCCCCATTGTTTCAGTCCTTTTCTTACACACAACCAATCTACACATAAGCCTATGTCTATATTGATTTTCTGTCTATTACCTATTTATTTCTATCTGTCTTGAAATCTCTGAGTCAAAGTAACATCTCCAATTCCAAATGGACAGCAGACAAAATTCATTCTATCTTGCCACTCATCTGTGCTTTTCTTCTCCAACTGCAAGAATGTGAGAAGCTTATGCTATTATCTTAACACTTGCAATGACTTTTGTATGTCTAGCATAAATAAGCATATACTGACAGTAGTTTCACAACAATTCTAAAGCAAAGCTACCATATACAGTTCACTATGTTTAAACTGGGAGCTCTGGTAGCATAGTGCCTAAGGCACTTGACTGCTAACCAGGAGGCTGGCAGTTCAAACCCACCAGCCACTCCACGGGAGGAAGGTTGGGCAATCCTACTTCCGTAGTGATAACTGCCTCGGAAACCCAAGGAGGGGTCGCTAGGAGTGGGGGGCCGACTCTATGGCAAATAACAACAACAACAACATGTTTAAACTATTTTTACTTTAAAGAAGCTACTAATATTTATATGCAGTGAAGTGTCCATGTTCCTCTGCATTCCCTTTTAGGAGCTTAGTAGTTTTAGCATTTGCATTTAGGTATATTGTCTACCTTAGTTTGCTTTTTGAGTAAGGTGTCAAAAAGATTGATTTTCTTTTTTTCAGTATGGATAACCAGTTTATGTGTCGAAAAAACTTCAAAATGGAAAGCAATTCACTATAGTGGTGTTGGTTTATTTCTGGACTCTCTATTTAGCTCATTTATTTATCTTTCTATCCTTCTGCCCAAATCACATTGCTTCAATAACTGTAACTTCATAGTAAATTGTAAAGCCCAGTATACATTCTCCAAATATAATCTTCTTTTATCAAGATTGATCAAAGGGACCCTATTGACTCAATGATTAAGTGTTAGGCTGTTGTTAACTGAAATGTTGCTGGTTCAAACACACCATCCTCTCCACAAGAGAAAGATGTGGCAGTCTGCTTCTGTAAATGTTTACAGACTCGGATACCCCAGGGGACAGTTGTATTCTGTCCTAAAGGGTTGCTATCAAGGGCAAAGTGCTTTGTTTTCAAGATTGATTTAGATATTGTGATCTTTGCATTTCTGTAGCAATTTTAGAAAACAGTGTAACAATTTTTTAAAAATATCTGCTTAGGTAATGAAAGGAATGGCATCAAATCTCTAGATAAAAGAAGGAGAAATGACATCTTCAACTTATTGGATTTACAATCCATAAACATTATATATCTTGCCAATTATTTATATCTGCTTCCTTTTTCTCAATGATGTTTTTAGTGTAGAAGGTGTGCAGTACCATAATGCTTATTTCTAATTTACATTTTTTGTTATTATATATGCTATTTTTGCAAAATTATATTTTCCAATTCTTGATGCAAGTAGAAATACTTGATTTTTTCTTTTTCTTAGATCCACTATTTTAAAAATTTTTATTTTGATTTGGGTGTAAATTTTCAAAGAAGATTTGTTTTACTCTCAACAGTTCATGCATGTTTGGTTGCAGGGTACCAATTACAATCCCAATAGTAAATAGCTCTCCTCCCATCTCTTCCCAGTGAGTATCCCTTTCCTGTGTCCTTCTTGTCTCTGCATTCCTGTCTACCCAGTCTTCCCTCTATGCAAATACTGCCCTTTGATGTCTCATGGTTGGCTGCTCTTAAGGGCTGCATCTCCCTAGGGTAGGAGGGTGCATTTCCTTGGGGTAGGTGTTCTGCTTGTAGTCCTTTCTACTGTTTGGCTGAGAGCTAATCCACAGAAGTGAGGCCAGTCCACACCTGAAAGATAACCCAGGGCCATAGTCAGAGGTGTTCTACCAGTCTCTCTCTGACCAGTAATTCTGGTCATTTTTGTGGTTTTAAAGTTTGTTCCACATTTTTTCCTCCCACTCTATGCACAATCTCTAATTTGGATCCCTTCCAAGTGTTTGGCATCGGTAGCTGGGCACCACCTAGTTCTTCTGATCTCAGGGTTGTGAAGGCTAAGGTTCTTGCGTTCCATCAGACTCTTGGATTAATTATTTCCACATGACTGATGTTCTTCACTCTTTTTTGCTCCAGATGTGGACAAACAGTTGCATCTTAAATGGCCCCTCGAAATCTTTTAAGACCATGTTGCTACTCATCAAAGTAGGATGTAGAACATGATTTTTATGTGTTGTGCCAATTGAGCTCAATGTCCCCCAAGACCATGGTCCTGAGCCCTCAGGCTCAGTGACTCATTCTTTTAAGGTGTTTGATTTTTGCTGAGAAGCTATTCCAACCTTGTCCCCTGTTAGTTCTATAATGTATATAGATATTTTTGTAGCATAGATATACATGTAAGAATATCATCAGCCAAATCTATCAATAGGGACTGGTATATTCCCATTCGCTTACTCACATCTGATCTTCTCACCTGTCCATGCATCCACCTGTAGACTAGTGTTTGTTGTTACTCGTAGTGCAGATATACTTGATGTTTGTGCATTACTTTTGTATCCTAGAGCCCTACTAAACACCCTTATTCATTTTAGGTATTGCTTTGTAAATATCATTGAATGTTCTGTAAATAATTATTATCATTTCAAGTAAAAGTCTACTTCTTTCTGTGCATTTTTTGCTTTTGCTTCATATCTTCTGACACAGTCTGGAACGTCCAGTTCAGTGCTGAGAGGAAGTGATGAGAGCAAACAATCTTGATCTGTTGCCAACCATTGTATACTTAGCCACAATTATGATATTAGCTTTAGGATTTTGAAAAATACTCTTTGTCACATTGAAGACGTTTCCTTCTATTCCTAGTTAGTTGAGAAATTTTATCATTAACGGATGATCAGTGTGATTATATTCTTTTTTCTGTACTTTTTGATATGATTAAATGACTTTCTTCATAGTTCTGTTAAAATGTGAAATTCCATATTTTGGTTTTTGAATGTAAAACAAATCTTTCTTTTCTGGGATAAATTGCACTTCATTATAATATATTACTGGCATGATGATATTAATATTATTATATATTTTTGAAGGTTTTGATTTGCTAATACATTGTTGAGAAATTTTGCATCTAGGTTCGTGGTGGATATGGTATTTAGTTACAGTTTCTTGTAATATCTCTAACAGTTTTTGTTATTAGGGATATTCTGGCCTCATATACAGAGCTGAATTTTCACTCCTCCTCTGTAGTTGGAAAATATATGTGTAATATGTGTATTATTTTTATAGAAGTATTTATAGCATTCATCTACAAAACCATCCTATCTGGTAGTTTACAATTTTGTAAGACTTTTTCTCTCATGAATAATTCAATTTCTTTAGGCATTACTATGCTATTATGATTTTCTCAGGATTGTCTCTTCTCAGGATATGGAACTTGCATTATTTACAAAATATATCCACTTTTTTTTAACTTATCCAATTGATTGGCATACAGTTGTTCCTGAAACTCACTTAATATTCTATTTTCCTTTTAATATTTATAGAATCCTTTGTGATATTTATTCTTGCATTCCTGATACTGATATTTTTTTTCTGTTTTATCTTAATCACTTCTTCCAGTATTTTTTGTATTGTATTAATCTTTTCATATAACTGATATAGACGTTTTACATTTCTCTTTTTCTTTTGTATTTTTAGTTTCTTTCACTTTCTCTATGTTTATTTTTATTATAATTTGCTCTCTTCTTTGCTTTGCTAATTTTCTTTGTTCTGTGGTCTTTATTCTTTTCTCCCTTCCCATTACTTT